ATAGTCTATTTTTCCTCGGCGTATGCGTCGGCTTATCAGTGCTATTGTATTATACTTCTTTGTTCCTATCTACAACGCTAATCTGAATCATCAGTAAAACCCATTACCTAATTTTGTTACAATTTTTATTTACAAAATACAAAATCTTATTACTTATTGTCTATAAAATAGGAGCGAAACATCTCATCCACTAAAATATCACTGTACAATGTATATCTTGTACTTTTAGCCGTGTAGTGGTGGATAAGAATATCCACTACCCCCCATATCTTCCCGTGGGTGTCGTAAAAGGCGGCAGAATGAAACAGGCAGGAGATGGGTAGCAGCATCTTCCTGCAGCAGCTGTATATCAAAAAAAAACTGCGGTTGACAACCCGCTCGCCAAGCGTGGCAACTATGGCATTACACCTCTCCATGAGCAACGACACAAATAAACTTCCCCCAGTCTCCGGCGGCCCCGCTATTTCTGGCTACGGTGGCGACGTCTCAATGATCGCAAGGGTGAAAACTGGCAACGATCACCGAAAGGTTAAAAGCACACTGAATCTAAACGTTAAGTTGGAGAGGTCTCATCTAATGAAGTCAACGCTCCGTCCCCTCGTGCTCTAATCCAAGGTCCCGAAACCTTTCAGCTCGAGTTACAAAACCGTTTTCACACCTTCGACTTGCCGACGACATAGTGCTTATGGCAGAATCGCTGGAGTACCTAAGCACTATGCTCAATCACCTCAATAATATCTACCAACAGATAGGTCTTAAGATGAACATGGACAAAATAAAGATAATGTTTAATGTCCATGTCACACCTATGCCGGTAGTTGTTGGGAGCACTATGCACAAAGTTGTTGAAGTTATTGTTGAAGCCCAACGGATTAGTAAGTTGAAGTGGCAATGGGCCGGTCATACAGCTCGGAGAACCGACAACCGATGGGGAAAAAAGGTTCTCGACTGGCAGACTCGTACTGGTAGGCGTAGGTAGGGCGACTCTCTACTAGATCGAGTGACGACCTGGTAAGACATGCAGGAAGTCGATGGATGCAGGTAGCTCAGGACCGTGGTTTGTGGCATTTCTTGGGGAAGGCCTATGTTCATCAGTGGACTTGTGAAGGGCTGTAATGATGATGACGATGATGATGATGACATATAGAAGAGGATGTTTATATTTATGAAATCGTTTAACTCAAAATCAATTTGATCGATCACCATGAAAATTGGTATATATGTATATATATATACATACATATATATATATATATATATATATATATATATATATATATATATATATACATATATGTATTTTTCAATGGAGAAGGTTTATATTTAAGAGGAGTATTACAAAAAACCGGAAATTACAAGGTTTCATCGTTGAAATTAAATGTTTTCCGTTCGTTGCCTGAAATAACAATTATCGTTTCGTCGTCGTCATCGTTTTCTTTACTACAATAAGCTCAGAGCAAATATTAGATAACTTATTTATTTATTTAGTAATAATCATTCTCCCGATGCATGTTTAAGCTAAAACTCTGAGAGACATTATTTGGGAGCTCTAATTTGTAGTCAATTGAATATCAACCATCAAAAAAAAAATATTTTTATCTCCCTAATATCCTATACTTTAATAATGATAGAATATATTATCGTTTTGTGCATTTCACGTAAGGAAAAAAATCGAAATAATTCAATTAACGACCAAAAAGGCTTCGATACAAGCCCCAATAGCTCCGAAGATCATTTTGACGCAAAATTTACACCAAAATAATCATTAACATGTGCTTAAACTATACTATTATTTTTACTCTTTAAATTGTTACTATTATTTTTAATTAATAAAAAAAACTACCACACAATACCATACATTGGCCAGCGCAGGGGAATATATGGTATATTTCCCTGCACCGGCCATCTGTAATCATTACCACGCCAGCAGTTGTCGAGTTTGGACCTGTATCACTTGATTTCGCGCGCTCCGTCTCGTTTCGATATTATCGTTATAGGCGTTGCTATTTTGGCCTGTGTTCCGAAACAGAACTCAACTACGATCGCAGTTTTTGATCGCTAGAAGTATTTACTTTCGCACAGTACATTTCAATTAGTATAAAGTTCACACATTATTATTATACCATATATAGTTAACTCATTATAGTTATTTTGATTGTAGCTGAGCTGTTTTACCAACCGGAATGGGGAAAACTAAATACAAGTATCAATGTGTCACTAAACGTATAAAAAAAATATCCTATCTCTGGAGAAATAACAATGGAGAATAAAAATGTCTGCATGCTTGCCATATGGACTGGCCCAGATGCAGTAAAAGTACTAAAAATCTACAAAGAAGACAAATTTTGGATTTTGAATATATTACCCAAGTTACAAGCGTTTAATAAAAAGTGTGTACTGTCTGAAATTATTGACTCGAGATAAGCTCGGTCAATGCCGTTGCAGCAAATATTTTTATAATAAAAAATATGTATGGTAAAATATGGTAATAATTAATTGACTGTAAGTACCGATTAAAAAAATATTAGTTACAGTTGGTATATATTATTATTATATATTAAAACAGGTTGCAACAGTACTATTTATTTATTTATACAACTATGCTACTGTTAGTAGATATAATCGATTATTAACCAACATCGGTTAACAACCGTTTACTGAGAAACAATTATATATTTATGTGTTCTTATTTCAACATTAAGGTTCATAAATAATGAAAAATATATCAAATAGATTATAATAAATTAATTAGATAACATAAAAATCATATACACCAAAAATTTTCCATCCACTGAACTCCATCCTAAGAAAACTTGTATAATAAAAGATCAAGATCGTTTAGTCGCTATACTCACAGTATCATAGTGCGAGCGAGTGAATAGATATTATGAAATAAAGTATCACTCGGGTAGGCCGTCGCCGGCTCGTACCGACAAACGTAAGACAACGGACAACGCCGAAATGTAAGAGGGCTCTTAAAAACTAAAACAAAAAAATTTAAAACAAACAAAATTTCAAATTTTTGATTTGTTACTGACACAAAAATCGTAATAATATAATAATAGAAGGCGCATAGATGCGCGACCTTATCGCCGCTATGATGTGTTGAACATCATTCACCATTTTGTGAAATAGTTGCTCGGGGAACGTCGTACGTGAATTTACGTTATTATAACGGTGAACTGCAGCATAATCAGTTGTAAAAACTTATCAAGGACCCGTAATTCAACTAATAAGGCATAACATTTCATCAGTAAGTTGATTATTTATTAATTAACATTGTTTTAATTAATTTACATCTAGATGAATAATTTACTATGACATTTACCTTTGCAAACTCATTTATTACTTTTCGTATTATACAATTACCATTGCTGCTTTTGTTCTACCGTAATACGCGACACACGCGACGTTGACTAACTCGCCAAGCAATGTAATGTGAAACGGACATCATTGTGCATTGCGTACGTTTATAACACGGTAAGGGGTGGCGACATCGGTTTTAGAAGTAATCGAGCGCTAATTCATTTCTATTGTCTTATTATTACTATTTCTGTGGTTGCTGAACACTATCTATGATATAAACTGTCAGTAGGCCTCTTGTCACTCATGCTAACTGCGTGAAATAATAACCTAAAATCGCGAGGCGCCCTGGGCGTTATACGCAGTCGGAGCTAGCGCGATGTAGGCGATTCAATGTTAAAGTTTTTTAACGCTGTTTACTTAAATAGTTTTATGTAAATACTTGTTGAAATAGTTTTTGTTTAGTGTTTAGTATATTTAATTGTGGGTAAAAATACTTGTAAAAGTTTTAATGTATTTTAAAAATTATATATTATGTATATTACCTATTTGATAAATTATAACAGCAAAACGTCGTTCCTACTATAACTTGCGTGGATGGATACTAAATGAAATGACCAACAAAAGGTTTCATATCATTCATATTCATTTATTTTTCACTCATTCACTCATTTTTTTTTATTTTTTTTTGTTAGATAGGTACTTACAGCAAAAAAGAATTAAGTAATAACTTGGTCTACAGAAGAAATACCTAAGTACTTTAATACAAAAATTTGTTAAAATTTACTTCACTATCTCAGTATTTACTTACATACATACCTATACTTGTCTTTTGTAATTAAAATATTTTAAGTTAATAACACAAAATACTGAAATTAAAATTTTGTATACTAAGATTTTTAAGTAGAATAGATCAAATTTCTGTCGTATTTCAGGTTTATTTGTAGTTTACACTAGCTACCTATTTCTTCCGAGCCAAGCGTTGCGATTCCCGACGAATGACCTTGCAATTTGCATGCGTTAGGCATCGCAGAACTCACATAGTCAGTCGATCATAGTCAGAATAGGTACTTCATCTAAGTAACATAATTAACATTTCGCAATGTATTCTTTTACTTTCTATTGACATCCCTTAATAACCACGGAAAGTCCGCCGTGACTTGGAAGCGGAAAAGATGCAAAGTAATACTAACGCGCAGCGATAAAGTTTTATTTAGCTTGCGTGCGCGATTTTTCTGATTAATAATAATTATGTAGGCTAGCAGTTGACATCAAAGGAGTATAACTTCTGTACGTAGTACTATTATTTATTCTGTGCTGTCAGGACAACGTCCGCATGGTTCAGCTAGTCGTTTATATGAAAGAACAAAGGTGAGAAATATTTACCACAGGATCAGAAAGAGATGTTAAAGGTCAAAGCAATTTTTTAAAAGATGAGAAGCTGAAAGCACAAATAAAAGAAACCTTAAAATATTTCATTCTTTTATTTACTGATCTCAGTATTTTTAAATAAATCTCACAAATAAATAGAACATTATCCTAGCGCTAAGTGTAATTTTGAGAAACATTTACAGTAGATACATTTAATATATACATATTTATTATATCACTGAATAAACGTGTTAAAGATCATATTTTATATCACTGCTATAAGCACTAATACTTGGAGGAAATATTCTTCGTTCTTTCACTTCAGCTTATTCCACAGGGCTGAAAGACAAAATATGCATTAAATTTTCTAAACTTATGCAATTGGTTATGTGACACTTTAGTCAATTAAAATCTCTTTATTGAAATACTCAATACAAAGATTCGTATAAAAATTATACGTAATATAACGTCTTCCAGACAGAATTTCGGTCACGGCGGCCAGCCTCAACGGAGACTAGCCATCGGCGCACTTTCTATTCCCTCAGTCAGATGGAATAACAATCCGATTCGATCGGAGAGAGATCAGATGCAGGACCAACGGCTTTACGGTTTAAGTACTTTCCGAGCTACGGGAGTAAAACATGGACGAATTCCTGATTCCAGGTTGCTAGCTGTCTCACAGCTATGCACAGGCCTCTACTCATTTGGGGAGAGCCGTGGAGCAATAAGTACGATTTCATCTATTTTAGAAGTGTGTGTTTTTCAGACATAGTGGTTTCATACGGTTTCCTTCACCGGCGAGCACTTAGTAAATGACACAATGTCAGTGCTAAGACATGGTGTATGAAAGCAGTAAAGCTGTGATTTCAGATTCAATGAGGAAATAATTTTATTATTTTAGTCAGCTATTACTCTTATTAAAAGTGTGTAATTGACTCTATTGAGCAGTCTAAGGAATATCTCAAGCTCAAGCTAACAACTAGAAAGTCGACTAAATAGTTACATACAATTTACATGTGACAACCTTTGTGGTACTGTTACCATTACAGCCTACAATCCCCTGCTGAACATAGGCCTCCCCCATGGATTACCTCATAAGGGGATATTTGTCATAGTTATTTGGATGCTGCTGGCCATCACCTGATTCGTTTCCTCTGTCGCCTCTTACGAGACACCCATGTTATAGTGGATATTCTTACACCGCCACTAACAATAACAATGTCCTCCAGACCGAATTTCGGCCTCGGCGGCCTGCCTCAACGGAGACCAGCCATCTGCGCAGGACAGGATTATAGTGCCCGAGTGTATACGCAAGCACAGGTGCACTCTCTATTCCCTCACTCTCATAATCCGATGGGACGGTAAACCGACACGACCGGAAAGAGATAAGGCGCAGGACCAACGGCTTTACGTGCTTTCCGACGCACGGGGGTGAGACACCGCCAACTTCCTGACTCCGGGCAACTACTGAACATTTCTTGGTGGAAAAACTCAATAATTAATTTTGTTGGGCCCACCCGGGATTTGAACCTAGGACCTAATGATCAGCAGTCGCACCACTACAACCACTAGACCAACGAGGCAGTACACCGCTACTACATGGTCATTTGTGGTAACAGCATATTTTAATAATAAAAATAATCATTAAAAATCATAAAGGCTGATTTAGCCGTTTCTGAGATATATGAACATACATGAATAATAAACACAGTCGACGACTATATGCCTTCCCTTTTCGAAGTTTAATATAAATATATTGTATGTGTATGTGGTGGTGCTCACATGACGCGCATAGTGTTGGTGAAGCCGGAGCCCTGGCGCCAGCCCGTCACCACCACCACCTGGTCGCCGCGCTGCACGAAGCCACGCTCGCGCCCGAACTGCAGCCCGTACTGCACGCGCAGGTCCACGTCCTTCAGCCAGTCGCTCACCGCCGGCTCTGCACACCAATCAAATACATATCAATAAAGGGAAGCTATTCGAACCCAGCACAAAACAAGCGTTTGTACAATCTTCAAGTAATAATACTAAATCTGGATGTTCGTCCGTGTACAACATATATGTATAACATCTGCACGATACAGTAGAAAATCTCAGTGTGTGCGTAACAATTATTTTAATTAAAAAATAAAGAATAAGAGAAACCTGACTTACATGGTGGAATATGTTTGTTTATATCTATACGTAAAAGCCGGACGTAATGAATAATTCAAATTATGCATCAACATATTTTCTATAAAGGCTAAACAAGATTATAATTTTAACTATCCAGAGCATAGGGTTGACAGACGGTCGGGATTCGTCCTGGATCCTCCCGACATTTCAAATGATCTCCAGACTCCCGACAAAACTCTAAATCTCCAGACAAACAGCTTCTCGGAAAAATAACGTATGACATTAGATTCAATAAAAGCTGAGTCAGCAATTAGACTAAACTTTGTAGTAAATTGTTTAAATTTTAAATCTTTTCTGAATACTTCTAAAGGAATCTAGTAAAGTCCAATGCCAAATACGTGTAGCAACTTAAAAACTAATAAGTGAACTTACTTGTACGTTTCGATTAGAGTACTTTTTGTGACTTCTTTATTAACAAAATAAACTTTTTAACTTTCATTTCTCCCGACAACGACCCCAAAATCCCGACATTTTCAAAATTTGTCCAGATATTTTGGTCTACCGATCTGGCAAACCTAAGCCAGCATCAAGTTGTAACAAGGCCGGTAACTAACCGGACCAGACCGGACCGGACCGTGTCGTAACGTACCTTTGTAGAAGATGGGCAGCACGCCGCGGTACAGGTGCGCCTGGCGCGCCGTCTGCGGCTGGCGCGGGTTGGCGATGACGGCGCAGCGCGGCCGGTACTTCCTGAGTAGGTGCGGTCCGGACTGTGTCGTGTCGTATCGTACCTTTGTAGACGATGGGCAGCACGCCGCGCTACAGGTGCGCCTGGCGCGCCGTCTGCGGCTGGCGCGTGTTGGCGATGACGGGGCAGCGCGGCCGGTACTTCCTGAGTAGGTGCGGTCCGGACTGTGTCGTGTCGTATCGTACCTTTGTAGACGATGGGCAGCACGCCGCGGTACAGGTGCGCCTGGCGCGCCGTCTGCGGCTGGCGCGTGACGGCGATGACGGGGCAGCGCGGCCGGTACTTGCTGAGCAGGTGCGCCGAGCGCCCGCTCGTCGTGATCACCACGATGGCCGACGCCATGCACTTGCTCGCGGCCTCCACCGCCGCTATCGCCACAGAGTGCGCAGGCTCGATGGGCCCTTTCACCTATTCAAAAAAATATACGCGTCAAACTGTCGATCGTAAAAAGTGGTCTTGTTAACCGACTGCGAAGAAAGAGGTTTTTTTTATAGAATAACTGTTCCGGCGATCATACAATGAATGCATACGTTCACGTTCTATATATATAGAGTTAACAAAGCATTTGCAAGCCTTCTTTATTTGAAGGTGTTTGAAGGATTCCAGGCTGCAGTAGTCACTTACCATCCGGTGGACTGTGTCTTCTCCAATTATATATATATATATATATATATATATATATATATATATATATATATGATATGTAATACATATATATATATATATATATAAAACTCCTCTTGCTGCTGAAATCAACTGGATACTGGATATAAACAATACATTATTAATTACCTGTGTAACCAGGTCAGTGAACAACTGCTTATGCCAGATAGCAGCCTCAGCCTCCTTGCAAATGTTGGCCATAGTGAGGACACACTCCAAAGGATAGTCTCCCTTGGCGGTCTCTCCGGACAACATGACACAGTCCGCCCCGTCCAAAATTGCATTAGCGACATCCGAAGTCTCCGCACGAGTTGGGCGCGGCTTCTTAACCATAGACTCCAACATTTGAGTAGCGCAGATGACTGGTTTTCCAACCTATAATACAAAGGTAAAACAAAAAATAAAAATATTGTTCAAGTAACTTTTTTTATTTTATTTTTTTTATATATAGGGAGGAGATTTGCCACAATAGGCAAAAGGGTTGGTAACTGCAGATTTTTTTATTTTTTAGTTGCTATTAAGAAGATTCCTGGTTTGTTTCCCCCTGTCTTACGATACGCACGGGATGAAATGGAGTAGTGGATGTTCTTACACGGCCACTACACGATGGCTAGCCTCATAGCGCAGCTCTTTTGTTAAATGTTACATTAAGCAATTTCGCCTAGATTCTTTTATGCAATCAATAGAATGTATGCCTGTAACTAATACAAAGGCAATGTGTGCAACATTATGAAATTATATTTCATGAATTTAAAATCTTCAGTTCACAGAGCACTTCATATAATAGAATAAATTTTTATTCAATAACGATATTTACTTAATACTTATTGAAAGTCATTTTTTTTAATTTACTACTGGTTCATACAACAAAATAACAAAAAACCTCTGTCCGAAAAAAAAAGGAAGAACCAGCAAGAAACTCAGTAAGATTTTTTTAAACAGAAATAATTTTGTACAATTACTTATATGAGAAAGTGTACTTACTTACTATCTGTTGCTAGAATGTATGCTACATTGTTACAACAGCTAGGTAAGTCTTTAAATTACATAACCCAAATTGACTTAATTGTTTCTATACTGTTAATGAGCATCTTGATCACAAAAATCAAAACAAATTACATATTTAAATATCTCTATGTAAAAATGCTTGATTTTTTTGCTGTGAGTTTATAAAGGACTTCGATAGTTATAGAATAAAAATTAGTTATTTTTACTGTTTTTACATATGAACATTTATATTTTGACATTTGTAAATGATTGAGTGACATTGTTTTTAGTATAATTAATCTTTTGACATTTATTTTATTATCAATTGGACATTTTTATATTACATTAAGTTAAATTCATCAATAATTGAAAAAAAATTGCTATATCTATTTAGTCAAAATTTGCACGCCTTGATAAGGCAGAATGTATAGGAACTTTTATGTTTTAATCTCTTCTAATCTCTTGTAATTTGTACCTACATTCTATGCAAATAAATAATTATGAATTATGAAGTGGTACTATACCACGAGGAGTAGGACTGCATGATAATTTAAGTTTTAGTTTTTTTATATGGCAATAAAAATATTGTATTTTTAAATAGAAAAGAATGTTATATAAAAATGATGTAATATTTTATACTTTATAATACTAATGTAATTGAAGTGAAATTAAGTTATCACGATCATGTAATATGTCACAATTTACTTACTTGGTTGCAGCGAGCAATCATGGTCTTCTGCGCGAGGAACACCTTCTCCGGCGGGATCTCAATTCCAAGATCACCACGAGCTACCATGATGCCATCTGAAGCCTGGAAATATAATTAACAAATTTAAGTAAAAATAAATTATTAACTGTGATTAATATCTAAAAGCTTCATTTTCGACATGGCTAAGTGGCGATAAAGACATCTTCCACAGTAGAATTGATATACTTGGGTAGGCAATCGCAGTTTGTTATTTTCAGTCGTTACTAGAAAGACGCAGCTGCCCATCTCCTGGTTTGTTTCCCTTTGTCGCTCTTACGACACACACGGGATGAAATGCGGTTATTCTTACGCCACCACCACACGGAAATTTTTTCTTTATAGTAATTATATTGAATTCAGAGACTAAAAACAAAAGTTGGATAAGACACTAGAGCAAAATGCCCACAAACATTATACAGTCAGTGACTGCAATCCTTTAAGAGGAAGCCACCCCTAATAACTAAAACATTTGCGTATATGGAAAGAGATGATTAGTTGATAGAATTTGTCTCAGAATACACGGTAAATCAGCTTCTTAACCCCCGACGAAAAAGAAGGGTGTTATATTTTAACGTGTGTATCCTTTGTTTCTGTGTCCGTCTGTGGCATCGCAGCTCCCAAACCGATGAACCAATTTAGATTCAGCTTTTTTTTGTTTGAAAGGTGACTTGTTCGAGAGTGTTCTGAGCTATGATGCAAGAAAATCTTTACAGCCGGTTGAAGATCATCAGCTCTTTTTGTTTCGAGGATTTTTAATTTATTTTTTAATTAATTAATATTATAAAATTAGAGTCATAATTACCATTCATTCATTCATTACAACGTATCAAAAGTCTTTAGCTGAACACAGGCCTCCCCATAGATTCTATCCATCCATCCAATACCTACAGCACTTTTTTAAATAGGATGAGGGTGACAAATAAGCACACAATCCACCTGATTGTAAATAGTTGCTTTGACCCATAAACATTTACATCTATCCTCGATTAAGATTCAAAATGCAGATGCGTTGTCACCCCTGAGGACGAAGATGGAATGCCTCGTTTTCAGTAAAAAGGATCTCCGGTTCTCTACATTCACCATACGAAACACGTATACGGATTTTACGCTGGTATTCTGTGAGAGCGTGGTCCTTCCCCGGTCGAGCAGATCCATTTGTGCTACAACTCTACTACTAATGTAACTGCAGCATGGCTCTACCACGTAACAAAATAAAGTCCACTGCTGGACATAGGCCTCCCTATAGATTCCCTCATGAGGGATTTTGCCAAAGTTGCAACACTTGGCAAGCGAGTTGGCAACCGCAATTTTTGTTACTTTGAGGATATATCAGGAAAATGCTGCTGCCCATCTCTTGTTTCATATTCCTCTGTAGCCTCTTACGACACCCTCAAGACGATATGGGACAGTATTTATATACCGCTACTACACGTTACACAGTACCCATACCTTCATAGCAAAATATCACCCATATTTGCTTTGGCACGCTTGAGAGGTAGATTGGCAACCACAGTTCTACATTATTTTGAGTTGTTTATACAGACACGCTGCTGCCCATATCCTGTTCCATTTCCCGTTATCGCCTTTTACGACACCCACGGGATGATAATATGGGTTGGTGGATATTTTATGCTGCCACTACACAACTTATGTTATGATAATTTCATAACCTATTTATCAACAAATGATTCATCTATAAAATGTAACATATCAAGCTACTAAACAGCCCGTCGTAAACTAAACTAAACATATCGAGCTATTATTAATAGTCATAACTATACTAAAATATAGGGGCATGGCAGTTCGGGGAACAAGCACTTTTTCTTAAATTTTATGGTACTCTAATGTTCCACTTCCGATGGGACCACTGAGATTTGATTGAAATTTTAAGAACTGTTTCAAAGAAATCTGCTAACATGCGTTTGCTCTACAACAATTTCACGTTTAAGAGTAAACCTGTGCCCAGCAATAGGAAGTAAAAGGGTTGTTATTTTTATAATAAAATTCTTCACAAATTAAAAGTTTGTAAAAAGTTAAATCAAATAAGAGATCAAATCGTAGCAAAATATTAGCAAGTCATCATTGAATTCAAAGAGGATGCAATTTTACAATGAACAGATATTGCAAATGTAACTGATTGCTCACATCCTCGCAATGTAAATTAGGTAATAATACATGCTTATATTGTATCCAGTTTTTACTAGTAAGCAATATTTTATCTAGATTAAAATTCAATTACTGATGTTACAATGGAATAAAATAAAGGGAATGATTGTGGTAAAAAAGTATGGTTAAATAAATTATTAAGTACCTAGCACTAAGGTTATCTTAGTACTTAATGAAATGTAAATCAAGCTTTTTTTGCCGCGCCCTGTCACAGACACTTATTGTTGTAATTTCAACCTTTCAAAATTTTTGTTGTTGATAGTAAGAGCAATAATATTTCATTTAATAAGTAAATGTATAGTTGATTAAAAAATGACATTCGATAGAGCGTGTGTTTGTCATGGAGTCATTGACTCATGGAGTATATTTAATAATATCACTGATGTTGTCGAAATTCAAAATTTACTAGTTTCTTTCTCCTAATTTTTTTTCAATTAACTAAGAGAATAGAGTAATTCTATGCTCCAACATTAAAAGACTTTACTTTTTCACTGTTGAAATCAAAGAGAAATCCTGTGGGAGAACGTTAAGAATAGGACTTCTAGTTTAATTAAAGTATTACTTAGGTACTCAATCAATAATATAAAACTATGAATATCAATAACACAAAATTATAACTAATAATATTCATAACATAGGTGTGTTGAGTTTAATTCCTGTATTATATTTAAATCTATTGTAATTCCTGTTCTAATATATAAATATATAGTATATTTTTAATATAATTTATAATTAATCTTGTGTTTATTTTCTTTTTAGGTATCTCAAATTTTTGGATTATGCCTGGAGTAAACGAGATGGTAAAACTGCCATCTATCAGAAGTGATATTTTTGGCGTAATCCCTTAGTTACTTCTTATGACACCTATGAAAGGGTTAGATTATCTTACGTGTTAGAGTCACGCTGCAGCTATATTATGGTTGTAGCACGAATGTGTCGGCTCGACCGGGGAAGGACCACGCTCTCACAGAATACGAGCGTAAATAGCAGTTTAATGCTGCTGTGTTTGTGTAGTGAATGTAGAGAACCAGAGAGCATTTTTACTGGAAACAAAGCATTCCATCTTAGTCCTCAGGGGTAACAACGCATCTGCATTTAGATTGTTAATCGAGGATAAATGCAGATGTCTATGGGCCACAGCCTACACTTACCATCAGGTGGACTGTGTGCGCGTCTGCCACCCACATTCTATAAAAAGCCACCACTACATGACATAAAGTATTACATTGAATAGATGAATTACTAGTGACTGTGTTCGTGTGTACACATTTAATCATCATCATCTACTTCATCAGCCCCTAAAAGTGTATTGCTGGGCATGGACCTCCCCCGCTGCAGTGATAGTTCTAATCGTCACACATAGTAAGCAGACTGATGACTGCAGTATCACTAAAGTCATTTTTGTACTTTCGCCTATTTTATAACTTCATATTATTCATGTTAGAAGGTAAATCATATTGGTTGGAAAGTGACTTAGAGAACATGATTTAAACATTTAAAATTATTTAAAGGTACTTACAGCGATAATCTCGTCCAAGTTGACCATGCCTTGGTGGTTCTCAATCTTGGAGATGATCTTGATGTTCTTTCCTTTCTCACCCAGGATGCTGCGGATCTCCTGTAGAGCTGCACCATTGCGGATGAATGATGCGAAAATCATGTCCACCTAGAAAATAAAATTGAAAATTTTGTACAACTGACTTCAATAGTCACTTCAATACGACCGAATCAATATATTGAAGTCAATTAAATACGCATTATTTAAGGATAATTCACAAACGACTGGTCAGATCTTGATCAAATTTGTATGGGACCACACGAGAAGCACCAGCTTTTAAATTAAAAAAAAAAGAATAAAAAAAACACACAAAAAATCAGTTCAATTGAATACTCATTGAAATCGGTTAAAAATATATACTGTATTTCAAATTGTAGCATACATGACCAATATTATAGAAATAGTACCCTTTTTATTCAATACCTTATATATATGTCTTGTGCGATGATGTGCGTTTATGTTAATCTCGAAAACCATAAAACCTTTACGAAATATTGTAATTGTGTATTGCACAATACTTAGGTATAGAAAGTCACCCTTTATGTTTAATTTAGTCAGTGTTGTCATCTGCAAGGGCTTCTTATGCCCTGCAGGTCTCGGGCCTCGGAGTAAACCCCCATTTTAATTTAGCACTGCTACGGAAAACTAACTCTGGTCTAAGAAGAACCAGCAAGAAACCCAGCCAGATATTTAAAAAAACAGTTAAAATCATTTAATATTTTACACAAGTAACAACCTCATCCAAAAGGGTTATTATCATCCATAAATTCCTTATTTCCTATAATTTTTCAGTATTTGCCTATTCTATAACTGTGCTGTTTATTTTTTATTACTTACATGTTTCCACCCATGTCGAAACGCCGGAAATTTTACATTCAAGTAAACAAAAAAAAAAAAAAAAACCCCCAAAAGAAAAAAACAATAAATTTTTTAAAAATCCAAAAAAATTAAATATTTTTTTTTTAATAATTCAAAAAAAAAAAACAAAAACCACAAAAAAAAAAAAAAAAAAAAACCCCCAATATTTAGGGTACGTTCCGAAATACAACGCAGTGTACTGTCCAATGCAAATGACGTATCATTTGACACTTTATTGTACTAGCGTGCCGCCGCCATATTGTGTCGGATATCCGGCCATAATAAAACAATTTTTAATTGTGTGTTTGCCGAATGAAGCATGCCAGAATTTGTTTCTATTTATTCAAATACAAAAAATTATAGAATAATTGATGGTATATCCATTAGGAGGATATAATGATTTTTGGAGCACAAAATGACAAAATAATCGCCAACACTTTTCCAAATCGCGCAAAAGTATGACGTCATATACTGTCCAATGTTTTGGAACGAATCAGCAGTATAGCGTCGATTCATGACGTCATTTGCATTGGACAGTACACTGCGTTGTATTTCGGAACATACCCTTAATACAAGATATGACCGAAGGTCGCGTCTCTTTATTACATGATAAGAAATTGAGCACGCACGTGCTTTTATTGTGATCAATGAATGCCGAATTAAGATCAACTGGCGTGTTTACATTGTGCCTTGTGTGTGTTTTTGTGCCTACTGTTTAGGTACCTGAGCTGATTTATCGACAGCTCTGATAATGATAATGCTTTGTGTATCAATTTTTTATCACTCTGCGCCATTGACACTCAGAATACTTGAGCACTGGGTTACAGTTCCCGGTATCTATTTTTAGCATTATATTTAGATTTTTAGATTTTTAATATAGATATGAATGGGACAAACAAGCACACAGTGATGGTAAGTGAATATAGAGACCCGTAGTCACCTACATTGAAAAATAATTAACAAAATGCAAAGTTTTAGATGGAAAATGGGCCACACATTCCACTATATTATCCAATGACGCTGCCAAACCATTACTATAAAGTTTATTTACTTACACCTTGTTCTACACCGAAGAGGAGATCAGATTTATCCTTTTCTGACACTGCAGGTAAATCAACAGGTAGACCGGGCAAATTTACACCCTTTCTCGATCCCAACATACCTGAATTGAAAAATAATAAAATACATTTATTTCGAAATCATTGCTATGCATAAATTGGTCAACAACCTTATAAAATTAAAAACATATTTATTTGGGCATATATTTTCAAATGTCTGAAAATTATAAAGGTAACCCACATTACCATTTTAATTTATCTATATCCAATGTTATGCTTAAGTGATAAGATAGGGGTTGGATAGGGGTACTTCGTAGCATTTATATGTGGTAGAGCCATCCTGCAGCAATGTTAGTAGTATGGATGTAGCATGGCTCGATTCAACTAAGGAAGGACCACACTCTCACAGAACACCAGCATAAAATAGCAGTTCAATGCTGCTGTGTTTGGCTGGTAGAGAGCCGTAGACGCTTTTTACTGGAAACGAGGCATTCCATCTCAGTCCTCACGGGTGACAACGTATCTGCATTTTGATTCGTAATAGAGGGTAGATGTAGATATCTACGGACCACAGTATCCACTTACCATCAGGTGGGCTGTGTGCTCGGTTGTCACCTATTTCTATAAAAAACAATCCTTGGGGGAGGCCTACATTTATTTTTTTACTGATTGAAAGTATTTTTTTACCTTTACCACTGGTTCAGGCCAAAATAAACGGTTATTTTTATCCAGGTCGGTATCTCAGTAAGGGACACCTAAGATGGCAGTTTGTTAATCAAATAAGTGATTTATTGAAGATGGACCTAATTAATAGTACCCTTAAATGACAAGTATGTGTCCATATATTTGTAAATGTGAAGGAAGTGAGTGTGTGTTAAAAGTTTATCATTTTTTTTATAGGATCGGGTGACAAACGAGCACACAGTCCACCTGACGGTAAGTGGTTGCTGTGACCCATAGACACCTACATGTATCCTCGATTACAAATCAAAAGGCAGATGCGTTGTCACCTGTGAGGACTAAGATGGAATGCCTCATTTCCAGCATGAAGGTTAGAGAACAGGAGTACGATCACCGTAGAAAATAGTGTCCAGAAATATGGACACCATAAGTGAGGCGCCGCGATCGCTCGAGGTTCGGTCAATAAAAGTAAGTCATTTTGAGTCTATTTTTCCGATCAGATGCTAAACCACTTGCACATCCACACACAATAAAATATTTCTCCATTTTTTAATGTTTCTTTTTGTCAAAAATTACAAAATTACGGAGCATGCAAATTTTCTCATTAAAAATGAAATGAAAATTTGTACACTATTCAACTAACTTCATCTACTTGTACTCATAAACAGCTAACTTCGCAGTTACTAATCACAGACGTCAGCGCCGCTATACATTCTACAATTTTTAAGGACAGGCGGGCTATGCTTTAGTACGTAGTGATCGTTCTCCTGTTCTCTAACCTTCATGATTTCCAGTGAAAAGGGTCTCCGGTTCTCCACACTCATCATACTAAACACAGCAGCATTAAGCTACTATATTACGCTGGTATTTTGTGAGAGTGTGGTCCATCCCCGGTCGAACCGACCCAATTGTGGTACAACTATACTACTAATATAACTGCAGCATGTCTCTACCACGTCTAAAATGACGTGACGTGAATGACGTGATCAATTGACCATGGTGTCAAATATCCAATACTTAGTTTGAAAGATTTTCTGTAATTGTCACATTTGGAAGGCGAAATCGCAATTGCAAACACATGCGAACTCACAGAAGACAATTACTTTTGCCAGAAACGCAGCTTACAGTCATTATTAAAGGAAATTCACTATTAAATGTAGAGATTTTATATTAAACCAAAGGAAAATTGGAAACAGGTAGGTAGGAAAGTGTGGGAGTTGATTCTGCAGTCACCAACTTTGGCGATGCTCACCAACTTTCTCAGAGTTGTATGTATTGGCAAATCTTTCAAGATATACAAGCCAAACGCCAAATGGAGCATTCTTGAAAAGAATCATATGCAATGGTGGCCACATTGTTATTGGTGTGATGTGTTACGGTTTTGTCAATACATCAATCATTCATTGAAAAATGTGATAATTTACACATAAGTACCTCCGTTCTCAATGGTGCACACCAAAGTGTCAGCGGTGGAGGACTTGCAGACCACTGAAATAAGGCCATCATCGATGAAGATCTTGTTGCCGGGCTTCACAACTTGGGTAATATTCTTGTAGTCGACAAAGATGGTGGCAGCGTTGCCTCGCTCTTGGTATGATAGGTCAGTAGTCAGATTGATAGTTTCGCCTTTTTTCAGTTCCACCTCTGCAGACCCACCCTGAGGAATTTATTTTAATATAAATAAGAGATTTCAAAATGAACTACAAACTAAGAAAGATGGTGAGGATATTTTTCTCTATCTCTAATAGCCTTCAGATGTAACTATAATTTTTTTCTCATTAAAAGCTAGTACTCAATTACAATCTTACATGATGGTATACATAATGGTATTATTACCTGGTGGTAAGTGGTGATGAAAACTCTCATTTAGATCTACCCAAAGTTACCAATTTTAAATGACTAATGTTCAATAGATCTATTTTCTATCGGAAACTTAGTTTACGAGAAAATTATGAACAAAATTACAATTTTTCTTCCACAATTCTCGCTCGTTTGACATTTTGCTGTGTTGCTAGAAGTTGTGTTGGGGTTTTATAAAATTTAGACTCTTATTATTGTAGGTACTACATATAAACATAACTTAATAATATTGTTTCCCAGTGCTAAAATATTGTGCATATATGTCAAAAAATAGATCTTTCACAGTACATAGTCATTTAATATCGCTTAGAGTATTTAATAAAAAAAAAAGTGTTTACTGTATTTCTAAATATTTACTGACAATCGATTTTGTCCCAAACTAGTTTTTCTTGGTTAAACTAGTTTTTCATAAACGATTTTGTTGGAAAAAAGTAATATTAGCAACAGTAGTTTGAGCTGCAGTTGATTCGCATATAGTTCATCCCGTGGGGCTTAGGACCAGTGTTGCCAACATTAAAATCTAGCTCCCGTGGTAGAGAACACTATAGTCCCGTCAAAACCCGTAAAGTAGGCATTTTCGAGTTTTCATTCCCCCCTAAATATTAAGAATGAATTGATTTGATATCGATTCTTGACACACATAGATTATTTTTCCGAATTCAATCTACCAACGTATATACATACATCCGTTTTATAATACCTATAACCATCCCGTTAAAAATCCGTTAGCCGTTAAACACAAATTTTTCTCGTTGCCAACCTCGCTGACCCGTCAAATCTAGCGGGAAACCCGTCAAAATGGCAACACTGCTTAGGAAAAACTAGTATTACCAAGAATAAACCAATTTGTTTAATGTAGATTTGCTAAAAAATTTACAAAAAAAAAACAATTATACCAAAAGCTCATTACAAAAATATGAAATTTTATAAATTTCTAAAAACAAAACTATGTTTTTTCGAAGGAGGCGAGTGCAACAAAGGGATTACCCAGATTCCCCCTCTCTGCCCTCAGCTCCCTTTAATTTCAATATTAAGGGGTTAGATAGTAGATAAGTCTTAACTAAAATATAAAGAAAAAATAAAAATATAAATTTCTTTGCAACTTTCCGCTAAACATATAAAATGATGTGTCTTAGTTGACCTGGATTGAAGCGCACCTCCCGCCCTCCCTCAATTGCATACACTAACTCCGTCACCACTAGACCAAGCACCACTACTCTCAACACCACTATTCCAGGCAAGACACACCATCGACGATAATACGACACGTGTTTCGCCTCTACACGAGGCATCCTCAGGTAATATAGACTCTACGGCAGCTGACCGCTAAGTAGTTCAAAATTTATTAAAAAGCTCAGAATATACTTACGCCCTCTAGTAGCCCAGTCCTGATCTCAGGACCCTTGGTGTCGAGTGCGATGGCCAAGGAGAAGGGCATGCCGAGCTTGGCGCTGTAGTTCTTCTCAGCCTCGCGGCAGTTCTTGATGGTCTCCGCGTGGTACTCGTGTGAGCCGTGTGAGAAGTTCATACGGGCTACATTCATGCCCGTTTCCATCATTTTCTCCAACATAGCCACATCGCGGGAGACGGGACCTGATAAGGGATGAATTTAGATAGCTTTGCTCTTGATTAAAAGTACCCGGTTGACCGAGCTTTGCTCGGTATTTTTCGCTCGGTGTTTTTTAATTCGTGTGTTTTGGAAATTATATTTAGATATAATTTCCAAAACACACGAATTATATATTATAATATTATATACTGATGAAATACGAATAATATTTTTTGATCGTAGTGACATAATAGAAAAAACTGAACTGGTTATTTGAATAAAAATCGTGAGTGCAATTAGTTTAATTTAAATCTTCGTGTTTTTAAAAAATACTCAAAAAAGGCCACGAAAAAATAGATTTTCTCAAAAAAGAAAGGAACTTGAAAAAAAAAAATTTAAAGAAGTCGGTCGGTCGCTCTGGACTCGAACCATGGTATAACGATTTTGTGACCGCCCAATATACCAATTAAGCTATTTGTAATCATTAATAAACTGTCAAAATTTACCTTCTTATTCTAACGTTATTGTAGCAGTTTTTCATTGCCTAAAAACACGGACAAAAAGACATTTTCTAAAAATAAATCCCAGCTAGATCTATTTATATATATGTATATATATATATATATATATATATATATATATATATATATATATATATATATATATATATATATATATACACAAGAATTGCTCGTTTAAAGGTATAGGATACTTTTACGAATTTTATCGCGTTTATTTTACTTTTAATTACTTTTATTTTTAATTCCCAACGTTTCGGGCGCTTTCCAGCACCCATGGTCACGGGGGACTGCTTTGCTCTGTGAAATCGAATTATTATAGATAGAAAGGTGTAAGTAAATTAAACAAATTTTGAGGTTTAAACTTTTTTCTATTACTGTACTGTGTGGTGGCTTTGTAAGAGAATTCATGACCCTATTTCGTCTCGATGATATTGTAAGAGGCGAATATGGGATATGCAACAAAGAACATATGGATTCCGATCTGGCTACTTTACATCTGGCGTACCATATGAGATTAGAGGAAAGTAACCAAATGGTGGCTAATTCTTTAATATGGGCTAGTAAAAATTCTGGAAAACAAATAATTAAAAGGTGCTGCAAACGAGTATCTTCTATTGCATTCATTAGCCCCAACACCTCAATCTCTCTATCTCGTGAGTTCTGCGAGAGGTGATGATAAGGTAAGACATTGCTTCACCGTTCTCAAACAATTTCGTAAGATGAGTAAAAATATGTTATTTTATCGATGATAATCAGGACTGAACAGTGTAACTATATCTTTTATTTGTAGGATATAAGTTTAATTTTATGTCTATCGGTAGATTCATTGTTAGTAATGTATAACTTGTGAGGTACAAGTTCTACATTATTTCGTTCAAGAATTTTGAATATGGGCTATGGACTGCGGTTCTATATATGGGCTGGCCCATATTTAGGAACTAGTACTTGGGTGGTTAGATATTAGTCTCTAAAGGTAATCTTTTTCTAAATGACACCGACGCAATCAAAAGAACCGAGTAAAAATGGGGATAAAGAACAAATGGTTAAAGGCATAAAAGTGATTTGCGAGAAGACAACAAAATCATCATCCAATAATGAAAAACCACCGAATAACTATCCTAGATTGCCCCTTTCACCTAAATCTTTGACTGCAAATAACTATCCTAGATTGCCCCTTTCACCTAAATCTTTGACTGCAAGTAACTATCCTAGATTGCCCCTTTCACCTAAATCTTTGACCGCAAATAACTATCCTAGATTGCCCCTTTCACCTAAATCTTTGACTGCAAATAACTATCCTAGATTGCCCGTTTCACCTAAATCTTTGACTGCAAATAACTATCCTAGATTGCCCCTTTCACCTAAATCTTTGACTGCAAATAACTATCCTAGATTGCCCCTTTCACCTAAATCTTTGACTGCAAATAACTATCCTAGATAGCCCCTTTCACCTAAATCTTTGACTGCAAATAACTATCCTAGATTGCCCCTTTCACCTAAATCTTTGCCTGCAAATAACTATCCTAGATTGCCCCTTTAACCTAAATCTTTGACTGCAAATAACTATCCTAGATTGCCCCTTTCACCTAAATCTTTGACTGCAAATAACTATCCTAGATTGCCCCTTTCACCTAAATCTTTGACTGCAAATAACTATCCTAGATTGCCCCTTTCACCTAAATCTTTGACTGCAAATAACTATCCTAGATTGCCCCTTTCACCTAAATCTTTGACTGCAAATAACTATCCTAGATTGCCCCTTTCACCTAAATCTTTGACTGCAAATAACTATCCTAGATTGCCCCTTTCACCTAAATCTTTGACTGCAAATAACTATCCTAGATTGCCCGTTTCACCTAAATCTTTGACTGCAAATAACTATCCTAGATTGCCCCTTTCACCTAAATCTTTGACTGCAAATAACTATCCTAGATTGCACGTTTCACCTAAATCTTTGACTGTAAATAACTATCCTAGATTGCCCCTTTCACCTAAATCTTTGACAGCAATTCTTAATGAAGACAGTTTGAAGTTTACCTAAGCATGATTCTCAAGGCTCTAGATCTGAAACAAAAATAAATCTCAATTTGAACCTTCAACCTTAACATCCGGATGTGACACTTAAACAGAAGCATCTACTTCTAGAACTACACATGAATCTATAAATAATGACGAACCAGGCCTAGTATCTCCTTATGACATAAGTCTTCTACCAAAAAAATCAGAAAGATGATAGGGGTAGAAAAGCTGCTGTGGTATAAAAGAGACCTTATTTAAAAAAAAGAATTTTGAGAAAGAAAAGAAAACTAAAGATAAGAAAGCCAAAGTAGAGAAAACGAAACCCTGGAAATAAGAAAAAATAAACAAGAAAACAACTAGTGACGATGAAGTGATTGACAATAAAGGTGGAGAGGTTTTCCAGTTTTGTTCAGACCCTGAACTAGTTATCATAATCGGCAAAGAAGCTCCTGATTCTGCAGATGCATAATGTATGTTCTGCCAGCAACTTTTTTCAGAAAATTCAGGAGACTCTGGATTACATTTTTTATGTAGGCTCTGGGCACATAATGACTGTGCTGGGCCAGAATTTGATAGTTGGATATGAGACATTTGGAAGTAAAATAATTTATTTCTTACTCTTACAAAAGTTAATTATTAATCTCTTAGTAGATAAGCATTTATGCTTATAATTTTCTTAAAAGATAATTAAGATGTTGTGGCCCATATTTGCTTATCTGTTACATATTTAGTACCAATTTTCCAATTTTATTTAATGCTCAATTTTGATAGTGTAGTTTAGTAATAAAAACATAAGACTGTTATTTTGCTCTTTAAAAATATATGTCTGAATATTATAACATTAATATAAAGTTGATTTTTAAATGGTTTTTAATTTTTGACCTCAAAACAAAACGGTAGCCCATATTTAGTTACTCTCAAAGCAATGTTTGAGTTAACTGATCATGTGTACGGCTGAGTAGAAAATAAGTATGAGAACAATGAAAATAGTGAAATAAGCTCTAAGTGGCTTATGTGGTAGAGCCATGTTGCAGCTATATTATGGTTGTAGCACGAATGGGTCGGCTCTACCAGGGAAGGAACACGCTCTCACAGAATACCAGCGTAAAATAGCAACCCAATGCTGCTGTGTTTCGTATGGTGAGTGTAGAGAACCGGAAGCCTTTTTTACTGGATACGAGGCATTCTATCTTAGTCCTCAGGGGTGACAACGCATCTGCATTTTGATTCTTAATCGAGGATAGATGTAGATGTCTATGGGCCACAGTATCCATTTACCATCAGGTGGGCTATGTGCTCGCTTGTCACCCTTATTATATAAAAAAGTCCAAAATATGCAAATGTACTTGAAGAACTTAAAGTCAAAACATATTTATTCAAAATTATAGTATATAAAGCAACGCCATCGCTTTAACAAGTCCCTAATGCAGAAGACCTTGTGAAAAAAGGCAGCAAAAAACTCACAAGTGGACTATTTTTCGAAAATCTAACAAAGTTCATTATGTCCAAGCATTTTTATCGTGTGCCCAGTAATTGGGTTTTTGCGGACTGGTTTTGATGAAAATTGAAGTAGTAGACAAACACTGTGTTGCTGAGATTGTCATACTTATCATGCTTGTTCCATGATCATACTGTAGTCATACTTACCAATGGTACAAATGATGCCAGAAAGCCGGACATATGAGGCTTTGGAGTCAATATCGAGGCTGCACATGTGCTGCAGGTGTGAACCCACGTCGGCAGCCGCCATCTGCTGACCGGGCTTCTCCGAGGAGCCGGACTGAAACAACTCTAAATTTAAAAGCAGCCAAAGTACAAACTTAACGTATATATTTGCAAAAATTAAGTTATAAAACGTCTGAACATACGTTCCATCCATTCCAGCCTATAAAACATAGTAGTATATTTGTAGCACGAATATATAGTAGTATAGTTGTAGCACGAATGGGTAGGCTTAACTGGAGAAGGACCACGCTCTCACAGAATACCAGCGTAAAATAGTAGCTTAATGCTGCTGTATTTCGTATGGTGAGTGTAGAGAACCGGCGACCCTTTTTACTGGAAACGAGGCATTACATCTTGGCCTCATGGGTGACAACGCATCTGCATTTTTATTCGTAATCGAGGATAGATGTAGATGTCTATGGGCTACAGCAACCACATATCATCAGGTGGACTGTGTGCTCGTTTGTCACCCCATCCTATAAAAAAATATAAAAGGGCAAAACAACGTCTGCCTGGCAAGCTAGTATATAATCATATATATATTATATATTTATATATATATATTATATATATATATATATATATATCATTTGGATGTAAATACACATGATTGACATTTTTAAGTAAACGCTACGCCAGCAAATAATATTTATATAAAAGATCTAATTCCCAAAGTCCTATCAATCGAAAATGTTTCGGAACAACGCCGATGCACCCCATTATATCTCCTGTCTCACTTCTCAAAAGCTATATCCTACACTTTTCAAGGCCATATTGCGCGACATATTCAATAGATAGCCCCTAAGCAGCTGGCAGTAGGGGAGCTTCCGCCAGCTGTTTATCATAGTGGGGTGGTGAAGAGGTATTGTAACGATGTTTATTTATACTCTGTCTTATAAATAATAATATTCAGATAGATAAATAAAGTATGCATTTTATCCAAACAACAGAGCTACAAGGGGTTTCAATATCCAACTAAGATGACTGAAAAAAAGAATAAATTGGCTCAAAAAAGTAGGTAGGTACTCAACGATACTATTTAATTAGGTTTTTCTGCAAACATCGTGCAAACACATTACGTTTATTCGAGTCAAGGACTGATATTACCTTAATGTGATGTAAAATTGATTTTTAGCAGCGTAAATACTAGCATAATAGGAATTCTGTCATTACATGTGATAAAAAAAATATTTTAAATAAAACGAAACTAAGGAATTTTAATTAAATATGATAAAAAAGCTTCTAAAATGATTTTTGACAAATAAATTAATAATCTAATTAGTAACAATTACAATGAGATTCAAAAACTGAATCACTCATTGTTCTGCTTAAAAATATTTTTATCGAATATATATGTGTTATATATACACATATATTAGCCAAAAGTATTTTATTGTAGCTACTTGTCTTAACTGTTAACACATGTTATGATATTAAATACCTATTTAATGGTTTAAATGATGTTGATTTGAAATGGACTTAACAGAAAAATTTAAAGACTGTTAAATGAAATTGGAAAAGACAAAAATAATTTATAAACTAACTCAACCAATCTTATTTCAACATAGTAAATTTGTATGAATTGCTTAATGAGTGTATCAATCACAATAAACATAAAGGTATATTACATAAAAGTAAGAGTTGTGATAATTCTCACTGAAAATAAAAAAATAAGTATTAAAGATGTTAAAAATTAGTTAGCTAATATCTGCAGGATAATCTGGAAAAAGATACTACATACCCATATATAGAAATAAGAGTTAATTTACAAGTATTGAACAAACACGTGTACAAATAGGACACTTTGGTAAATTTTCTAAAGATATCACAAAATTTAGTTAACATCATGTTATTATAAAACAACATCAATTGTCTAAGCAATTTAATCACAAGTCACAGCATACTGCAGATGGTTATAAATATAAGATTTATTGTATAAAATATCAAGTGATTGAAGTGAAAAATCTTATAAAACTTAAATATTTGATATAATATATATAAGGGTGGCAGGACTCTTTCTGCCTTGTCTTGTCTGAGTCCATTTGGGTAGGAACCTAACTCTCAACTATTTCTGTCGCCAAATAGCAGTGAAGGGTATTGGGAGCCAGTATAATTTGGTCAGGCTGTGAGGCATTCCCTCTTAGTCCTCAAAGGTGACAATGCATCAGGAGCCTTCTTTGTTTGAAGTAAGCTGAATGTGTCCATGGAACGCAATAACCACTTACCAACAAGTGGTCTGAAGTTTGTCACTTCAGTTTTATAAAAAATAACTTCCCGATTTTTTTAAAACATTGATTTTCATAGCAGGAAGTTAAAAATAGCTATTAAAGATCTATTTTGCTATAAAATATTAAAAAGGGAAAAGACATGTCAAAACAGGTTTCTAGTTATGAATATAATATAAACATACATAAATAAAACAACAGTTATCATACTCAGTTAATGTTTTTATAGAATAAGTCAAAGAATAAGATAATTCAATTTCTCGGCTATTCCCACATTAACAAATAAATATAATGATGGTATTAAGATTTAATGTAAAACTATTCAAAATTCAGCAAATAACTATTATCGTATAATATACATATTATCAATTATATATTTATATGTACCTATTATGTAGGACTCGGTATACTATTATATACTCTTTGGTGAATACAACTATAATATTGTACAACGATTTAAAAAGCCGATTTAACTACCAAACTGTTTCATTTTTTAACAGGAGATGTACATATAATAGTACGCCGGCATAGTAGTGCACTTTCATTATTAGGTATATATACCTTATATATACTTTTAATACCACTGTTTTAAAAAATCACAATTGAAGAAATAAATAACGATTATCGATATTTTTTAATGTTTATGGAAAAATCGTCAAAATGCATAACAATAAATATGTAACCGATTTTCCGTTGTTATGGGTATAATCACTATAATACTTTTTTAAAGGGATATTGATTTTATTACCTCAGTTTTACCGTCGTATATTGTTGACCACACCATATTCACAGTGGTGATGTATTGTAACGATTTTTTGCTTAAGTGTGTCAGGTGTGATCTTGAACTGCCCTTCGTGGAAAACTTCTCGCCGTTACGATAGTATACGGACTTGCGTATTAAATAGAGGAGCGCAGGGCGCGGCGCGCGCAACAGTGAAGGCGTAGTGGCGCAGGGTGAGTTCTCGTGGTGAGAACTATAAAATTTGTTTTCAAAAATTTCCTTGCTGTTATAACTCACTGCACACAACCACGACTATCAATTAAATTTAGAAAAGTCAAGTCTTCGTATAACCTACGATTCTATGCAGAGACCAAAATTGTTCTATATTTAAATATTTGAAAATTTGCCAATTGATATAGCTTGCCAATAAGAAAAAATTAGTCGATTTTATAATAAAGTTGTATTATTGGTAAACGTAACTTAAATTTCTTTATGCATTGTTTGTAAGTGTAGTGTTTATTAATGAATATCATAAAATTTGAGATTTTTAGCCGAAATTAGACTACATTGCTGCTCTTGTAATAACAATTATGTGTCTAATAATTTGAAGGGGATTTTGACTGGTAAAAGTGATGCGATTTTGTGTACTATATGACTAATGACTACGCTTATGTACTATTAGCGATATACATAGAACTATTCAAGTTTTTTTTGTCAGTTTAGGCGCCTTTACGTAGAGATTTATATACAGTAGGGCATTTGTAGTTAGAACTTCGATCAATTAATTACATTGTGTATAATTGATCGAAGAGTTAGAACAATTTTCTGTTATCTATAAACTGGCATTGCATATTTAGTTCCATAACTCTCTAAAAGATGGCACCGGAGTAAGTTTACGTCCGGAAGTACGTATTTTAATTAATTGATTGGTAAATCAACGTGCTTATAATGTGTTTAAATATTTTCCCCAGAAAATGAGTTTAAATACTAATTTAATTATGATTTATTCTCTTTAAGTCGTTTATTTGTTCAATTGGTAGTTGGAATATTGGTACTTTAATTTCTAAACGTGACCACCATTTTGTTTGTTTGTTATTGAATTTGACATTGACGCTGACTGACGATAGCGAATTATGTTTTAAATGTTTGATATTTTTTCCTATATATTCTTACGACTTGACTATTCTTGGACTCCGATTATCTTTGTTTAATACAGTGACCCACGCACGTGAAAAGGATTTCGTTTATCTTTCCTCCGGACATAGTTCCTATAGTTTAGTGATGGCTGCGGATAAAATTTGTTGTGTTTCAGGATGTACTAAAAGCCGTGAGTAAATCTCTTTCTATATTTTATATAAGTCAGTGTCACCTTGGGGCAATAATGTGGTACCCAGTGCAGACACAGGTAGCCCAAGAGTTCTGCATCACTTTTCCACCCTAAGAGCAACTACTGTGCTATTTATACTTATAACACTACTACTTATACTACTGTCTTTACACTTTATAAAAACATTATAAAATATTTCAAAAAAATTGTAGGTGAAGATGACTTTGTACTTCACAAATTTCGAAATTCTACAAAGGATCCAACACACTTGTACATGGGTACAATCAGTTGGTGGAAACCTTCTGTGCTTAGATTATATCTAAGTGTTTAAGTACCGAAGAATTTGTCGTACACATTTTGAATCCAAGTACTGGACCAGGAGTAAAATGTTAAGTAATATTGCAATACCAACACTGCATATGAAAGGTTAGTGAAGATTTGCAATAACATTGTTATAATGATCTATTCTCAGTATAATATTCAAATATAATATTCATAATAATAAAGGTAATTACATTCATAATATTAAGAATAGATCCTCTTAATATTATGAAGTTAATATGGAAGTTTGTTTTGCAAATAATTAATTTTACTAAGGACTGAATGTATAACTTTTGATTCATTGTTAAATTATGTCATGCAATAATAATTTTCAACTTCTATGTTTACAAAATATGTAAGATATGCAAAATAATACAAAACAAAACAAATATTTGATTCAAGTGATAATGAAAAGCTTATAAATTAAGGCTTCTTTTAAAACTCATGGATATCAAATTCTA